AACATGTCTCACTAGTTAGACAACAACGTTCATGTTTTAGGCTTAGAACATTAATAGGAAATAGTCTTCTTGTGACGAATGCCCAATCTACTAAAGTATATTACATTGCCACTTGTCTAGAGAATTTTCGAAGACGTGCCAAAATCTTTAGAACATTAGAGCTGAAAGATACCTTAGATAAATTTCTCATGCATCTACTAAAGGATATTCGAGCCCTCCATTTCAGCCTCTGAATCCAAACTTTAATACTGCCCTATGTATATCTGATTACTGGGGATGTCTAGCCTTTCCTTATGGCCTCTTTTCCCTTAACCACATCATCTCTGATTTTTAATTTGGCCTTGTTTGTTACTCCAGCTACTCCCACCTGTTTCCCTTCATGGTTTGGTTTGGCCTCTTCTCTGCCCTCCACCCCATGTTGATTTCAAGGGATAACAAATGTTAATCATGTGGATTTGCCAGTTCCCTAGATAAACAGTTCAGCTACTACCAAGAAAGAGTTTAACCCTGAAGCCTAGCATCCTGGGTTTGCATGCAAAGGGAGAAGAGAAACTCACTCCGAGCTATGAGATAAACATAAGGTATCAAGCCTCAAGGCCTGGCATAAAAAGGGATAATGAAGGACATAGGAGAGATAATAATATGACTGGGTATGTCGTTATCTAGGCTACAAAAAGAAGGAGGCTTTGAGCAAAAGCCTTAAAAGAGTTTTATTTTAGAAGGGCAATTTTCTATCATCAGTGCCAAGAGAAGGCTCAGCAGGGACCCTATTTTGCCCTGCTTTGAGCAAATGATACTGAACTCCCTAATAGGAGTTGCAGGGTATGAAGCAACAGACCACAGGGGCCTCCATTACTTTGAGGCCAACCGCAGGGTAGAGCTCTGGTGGGAACAGCTACGTAACGTGCACGTCCAGCAGTGCCACAAGGAACCAAGCCATCAAGAGCTACTATCACAGCCCAAGTGCTGCCTCTGCTGAAAGCAGTAGCACAGATGCTATGAGAACTGCTCACAAGAACTGCCACTTGGAGGCACCCCTTAGAAGTTGCCTTTACTTGTAAATCACCTAGGAGCATTTGAAAAACAACTCCTCCTGAGACCAGAACTTTTAATTCATTAAATTTGTCAGAGGCTCAGGAAGCCCTATGTATATTTTAAACAAGTAATCTTGGTGATTCTTATGTCTGTATTCCTGGCTTATTGTTCAGCTATTTCCAGCCTGGTTGAGCCCTGTAGGAGAAGAGGGTACTGGTTATTTAGGGAAAGAGTATTGGTCATTCTAACTACTTCCAACTGAAGAAAGACTAACTTTTTATGTTAAGAAACATGATAGGCTTTGGCGGACTGCGTCTCTTGGAAGGTTTGAGTTGAGCCAATAAACTTCGAACTAAAACTAGGTTGTTGATGGTCAAAGGGGTAATAATATTGAGTAATAATATTGAGGAGGACAGACTGTCTAGATGGCACTGCTTTAGAGATCCTAGAATTAAAATTATAATGTTTTTCTGTTATATGAGACTGTTTCCTTTCGATGACTTGGATTATTGCTTTTAATTTATTTGGATTGTCACTAGACTGCTAACTACATATTCATAGTTACCATAGTGATTTTTCCTCCATTTCCTTATACAGAGACTTTTAAGTTATTTACATATGATTTCCTTTCCTTCTTACCACCACCTTTTCACTCTCCTGGACTGCAGCTCAATGGAACTTAGATTCACTTTGATTCTGCTTTGAAACATGGCAGGCTTGTGTAAAAATCCCTGGAGAAACCATCATTAAATCTTGAAGATACTTTTTTTTTTGTAAACTGTATGTAGAGCTTTGATATTATTTTGATTTCCTATGTGACAGAATTTCATATATACAGACAGAATATTTTTCTTCCTCTTTTCATCATCTGACATTATGGTGATCCTTAGAATTGCAAATACTGGAGAACAGAGACACATACTCAAGACTGTATTAAAAAATGTTTCAGAAATTCTCCTTTGATATACTATTGTTAAGGTTATAACATGATTTCACATGTGAGTTTGTATGGAAATGAGGGAATGGAAATGAAGACCTAGGCTTTCTCAATTACCCTTGCAATTGTTCCTTCAGGGAGAAACAGCGGAGTATTACTAATTTGTATTGGTTATGAATAAAAATTTAGATAAACAATTATTTGGGGTTTCAGCCTTCCTTTTACTAAAAATAATTCTTTTTAGATCAATATGTGACCAGTCAGTACTCGGAGCAATAATATTAAAGTACCTCCTTACAATGAGGTTTATATGAAGCCCTCTAAAACATGAAACGTTTCAACTCTGGTTGGAATGCACAGAGAGGCTGAAATATTTTGGAATGACACACACATAAAATACATTAATAATTTTAAGGTAATTTATTGTTATATTTTAAAAATGCATCTTTGTAACAAAGGTAAAATTAAGAGGACGATATTCCTCCTTTTGCTCTGTAGATCAATGAGTAGACTCCCTTACTTCTCTAAAATATATATATATATTATGCCCAGAAAATATCCACAAATCCCTGTTAAATTAATACAGTATTGTTGAAAAACAAAGATGGCCATGGAAACTGAATGAGAAAGGAATCTTGAGGAGAAAACAGCAATATTTAAGAGACCTGGTTCTCTTGGTGTTGTGGAACAGGATCCACTGAAATGGAACAGAAGGGTAAGCTTCTGTTAAGCTAGGTAAGGAAGCCCAGGGTTGTGGATGAAGGTACAAAGACACTGGATGCTTGACTTTTGGGGAATTACCTAGATTTGACTCTCAGGTAGCTCTGCCAAAGATTGACAGTAGGATTCAGAAAGAAGAGTAAACTATCTAATATGTCTCCCAGCCAGTTTACATAGTTATAATGATGATCAAATTAGAATCTTATGTCAATATTCTCTTTAACCTCTACAATGTCATAGTAAATTCTCAAGGTTCAGTAGCTAACATTGGCGTAAGCCTAACTGTGAAATGACTGAGCTGGCTCATCCTGGAGTGCGAGTGGGGAGCATGAGAGGGACACAGCCATACCACATGGGGCCATGGCTGGGGAGGGCAGAGACTACTGAACAAGACCAAAGAATAAGCAAAGCAAAAAATCACAAGCCTGCTGAAGTTTGGAGGACCAGAAGCAATAGGTGAGGTTCTCAGTGCTAATGTGGGGGTAGTCCAGGGCCAAACAGACATTAACAACAATAAAAACACCAACAATAATAATAAAAGCAACAATGATAATAACAATAACAAATGATGATGGCTAGCATTTGTTGCACATTTATTATATGGAGGGTGTTAATCTAAGAATTTCACGTTTAAATTCATATATACTAATACTTGTCCTATTTTACAGCTGAGAAACAGGTAGTAAAGAGAGATCAAATAACTTTCCCAGGGTTTCATAGCTAGTAATTTTTGGAGCTGTGATTTGAATTCAATGTATTCTCAGAGCACCAGAAAGGTACACGGCTAAAAGTTTCCTTCTGTTTCCAGTGTTTCCTAGAAAATCTGCTCAGCACGATAGGCTCAGGAGTCCCCGCTCCTAGCAGGTCCTGCTGAAGCTCTATGCGAGATTGTACTGGAATGAGTTTGAGCTGCTGCTTATTTTTTACTTTGGGGTTTGAGTGATTTTGTTTTAGGTTAAAAAAATTATTTACCTTTCAGCTTTGATGAATTACTTTATTTTTATATCCAATAGTTTTTTTTACTTTCATGTTAATTGATTTCTTAACATCTTTATCTTGCTCATTTTTATCTTTTTAATGATTTTAAATTGCTGATTTTAAGAATTTTATCTTGGTATATTTATATTTATTTTTTTATCTTCTTTAAGCTCTATTCTGACAAATGATGTATTTTTATATTTCCTTTGTGTTTTAAATTTTTTAATTTTTGTTTCCAGAATTTAATGTATTTTAATTGTGTTATATACTTGTCAGAAATTTTTTTGCTTAATAATTATTAAAATCTCACTTTTTGCATTACTTTTGATCATTTTACTCTTAGCCACTATTTTGAACCTTTAAGGTCTAAATATAATCTTGTTTTTCTAGTGTTTTAGTGTTTTTATTCATTCCTTCTACATGGCAATAGAAAATGTGACCATAAAGACCTCAATGAACGTAACCAACATTTAAAGAGGGCCTGTACTCCTTTTACCCTCACCCGCTCTGCCCGACTCCCCTGTCTATTTAATCCATCTGTAGCTTCCCTTTCAGCTTTTCTTTCTTTTTTTTTTTTAATTTATTATTGCATTTTAGGTTTTGGGGTACATGTGCAGAACACGCAAGACAGTTGCGTAGGTACACACATGCCAGTGTGTTTTGCTTCCTTTCTCCCCTTCACCCACATTTGGCATTTCTCCCCAGGCTATCCCTCCCCAGCTCCCCCTCCCGCTGGCCCTCCCCCTTTCCCCCCAATAGACCCCAGTGTTTAGTACTCCCCTCCCTGTGTCCATGTGTTCTCATTTTTCATCACCCGCCTATGAGTGAGAATATGCAGTATTTCATTTTCTTTTCTTGTGTCAGTTTGCTGAGAATGATGTTCTCCAGATTCATCCATGTCCCTACAAACGACATGAACTCTTCATTTCTGATTGCTGCCTAATATTCCATGGTGTATATGTGCCACATTTTCCCAATCCAGTCTATCATCAAGGGGCATTTGGGTTGATTCCAGGTCTTTGCTATTGTAAACAGTGCTGCAATGAACATTCGTGTGCATGTGTCCTTATAGTAGAACGATTTCCCTTCCAAGGGAACATACATTTTCCCTTCAATACTAAAGCCTGAAAGCTAATAACAATACAGAAGATCCACTGACCAACACTTCTTCCCAAGACAATAATAATAACATATATGCATAATTATTAAAGTGATTTTAAAGGTTTGGTTTTGTTTTTGCTATCCAAGTTCCTAAGACATGTTAATCCTGTAAAATTTTACTATATGAAATGGCTGATTAATGATTGAACAAATATCATAAACACATAAGGAAGGTGATATGGGTTTTATTCACAGAAGAATACTTAAACACATATCTGATCTGGTTTTAATAAGAATCACATTACAAGAGAGCTGATAGAAACTGTATAAAAAGGGCTTTAGAAACGTTTTTAAAATTTAATTTGCATCGAATATAGCATTACTATTTGAATTTAACTTCCAGTATACCTGCAGAATGGGCTATTTATTGAGTTTAACTTCTTTCCAGGCATGGTTATGGAACCTGCTAGTATGTATATATCCCAGGGGCCACACCATACTAAATAGGCTAGTGATAAAATGAGTAGGACAAGATTTCTTATCAGGAACATTTTAAACACAGAATCTGTTGGTTCTATGTTGGGGGTGGAGGCTGGGAAAAATAGAGAGATATTAGTCAATGCATTACTTTGATAAGTGAGCAACAGAACCCATGTTGTGTGGTCAAAGGGTACTGCAGAACTTCTCAGGCGTTGCATACATTTCTGTTTTTGACCACAACTTTAATGCTCCACAAGAAATCCCTCAAAGAATCTTTTTCTTGTCCACTTCTAAAGAGAGAACAAAATGCTTTGTTAGACATAGTTGAGACCAATTATAGTAATGTAACTACTTTTGGAAATAAAATTCCGAAATGTCTTAATACATAAATCTTTCTATGAAGTCTTTAAAATTGACTGCTAAAACCAATAATATTATATTTTTGGAACATAATCAACCATTTTGTGCACATAAGTGAGATTGTAGAAACTAGGGCTCTGAAGGACTTAAAAGAGATATATTTCTCCAAACTAAAGGTAATTATATCCACATTACTTTGACAGATACAGTATTTCTCCATCTTATAGTTAAATTTATTAAAATATTAAGTAAATCAACAGGTAAATACATTTTTGGTCAAACAAAACTTTAAAAATTGTGTTTTTCTTTTATTTGGCTCAAGCTAATTCTTTGTTATTTTTATCATTTATTGACCACCCAGTTAAAATTTATCTGAATTGAATTGACATCATCTATTCCATTGTCAGAAAAGGGCCCTCTAATGCCATTCAATTTATTAAACTGTTAATCTTGTGGACTTTTTTTTTTCAAAACTTGTCAGTTTTTATATGAATAAACTTCAGGTTTCATTTTGTAGGTCTGTTACTTCTTATATGGTTTCATAGAATTCACTCTTAGCCATTGTTAGTATTGTACAGATAGGCACACAGGCATTTAAATATGGTAGCACCTTATTGCAAAAAAAAAGTTCTACTTATATTCACTGCAATTTATTGTAGAAAATGTTCTCTGAACTGAAAATTATAAACTGTTGTCAATAATTCAGGTCCCAATTTTAAAGTGTATTGAGATTACCAAACGGTGAAGCAGGAGCAATATGTGTTCTCTACATAAAGAAAAGCACTATTAAATGAACTTGATATTGTAAGACAAATTCAAGGTTGTCAAAACTCATATCATGGCATTTATAACCAAGCCTAAAATCCCAAACCAACATGCCATGATGGAATGGCAGATCGTATTAGATTTGCTGGGTATTGTCAGTTTTATTTTATGTTACCTAAGTACAGCTTAAGCCTTTCAGTTAAAATCTGACTCCCTACCAAAAGGAAGAAGATTAGTGAATTAACTATTGTTTGTGTTATTAATAATATTGGCAATAACCATTTGTCTGTGGTGCTGTGTCAGTTACAAGGCACTCTGCCATACATTCTTCCATGTGATCCTCACCAAAGCCTTGGAGATACTTGAAGCCAAATTGTTATTATTCTCATTTTACAGATGAAGGTTAAGGAACTGATTTGAGGTCACATTGTGGTAAATGTTCAACACTCACCTCTGGTCCAGTCCAGATTTTCTGATGGCAAACCTTATACTCATTTCACTTCATAAATAGAATACTTAGGTCCAATCAGCCATTTTCTAAATGTGTATTTACTGTTGGTCACAAGAGTTTGTGTGACACTGTGTGGATAATTAAATGCCCCTTCTACTGGGAAAACCCAAAGGTGTGTCAGTTAATTAGACTTACACAGGAAAGATAATATACTATTATCTTTATTGCAAAAGTATACTTGAAAATGCAACAAAGGCTACTGAAGCTATTAAAATAAGCTTCTGATCCTTAGGGAAACTATTTCAACACCAGAGCTACCATCAAAAGTCCTTGAGACAAGTAACCCAGGAGTGAAATGGTTATGATTACACTTTATAAACAAACTTAAATAAATATCAGGAGCTGCTTTACTAGGTCCCCTGCTATGAAGTGAAAACTAGAGAAAAATATATAGCAAAGTATTCTAGCCTGAGGATATGTACTATTTTGCACCATAGCACACTGACTACAGCCAAATATTTTCATTGGAAAAATGTTAATTAATAATGTAGCTCAATTCTGCTACCTGGGAAGTACATAAGACATGTAATTTAAATTCTAATCATGGATAACAAAAATCCTGTGATATTTATTCTACAAAGGAAAATGGCAGTCCCGGCAAGATTATAAGTTAGAAAATTATATTTCCTTTGTGTAAATTTGTTCTTTAGCTTCATTCAGTAATCAGAATTATTTATTTCCTTATTCAAATTATAAGTGCCTTTTAAAACCAGGCCTACTATTATTATGTTGTGCCATGGGAAATCGCCAATATTTAACTATTTTAGTCAATAAAAATGCAGTTTCACATGGTGTAAGCTAATATATGCCGAAGCATGAATAGAAATACTTGCAGAAATACTGTCCTAAGTATAACCTCAGATGTACACAGTATTTTAGCAAAAGCATCAGTGGGAAATCAAGCAAGTCCTTTCGCTGAAAGAATGATTTATAAGTACAGTAATTTCTTTTGTAAAGGCCTTTTCTTTACCAAATTAGCAATGTGAATATTAAATTAAACATGAGTCATGCACCATTTCTTTTTAAATTTTGTGGGGAAAGAGGAAGTAGAAAAAAATATTTTTATACTCCTAATCAGGCATTACATTAGTTGTTATAAGGAACTCCATGAAAGTTGGTGGTATACAGGTTACCAGCAGTGTTTGGGAACTGTGTTGTTTTGGCTCACAGAATATAAAAGCATGTACGTATATAACTGTGTTTCCACACAGACACACTCTACTACCCTTATATGCATAGCATAATCACATGTGTAGCTGTCCATTGTATCAGGAGAGGCAGTGGACACTTTTAGGGGCTTTTCCATATTTTAAAACCTGACATCCATGTGCAGCACTTATCCACTATTATTTTCAGGATAAACTATCTTTATTGCAAGACTGTTGGTAAAAATTCTTAGGTTATGTCAAGGGAAAAAAATCCCCTATTGCTTTTTGAAGGAAAAATTATAAGAATACTTTAATTTGCTTTATTTTTTATCTCCACACTAGTTTGTTATTTTAGTGGAATAAAAACATTTTTCTCTTCCATTATTTTAATTCACTATGTTGCATCCATTTGTTTTATAGAAAGATAAACTTTTGTGTTGAATTAGCTGCAGAAGACCAGCTCACACATTAATCAGCACTAAGCAAATATATTACAAAAAAGATAGGACAACAAAAATGAGCTGGAATACAGTTTCAGTTCAACCACCAAATGATTTGATATTATAAATAAATTTCTTGGGTATATATAGCGAGTGAGTAGACCTCAACATTTAGCTATTTTTTTCAATGAATAAATATTGAGCACTGCCTTTATAGCAAACACTGTCTTAGGTGCAGGAAACAATGGACATTATGCTTTGGGAGGATTAGATAAGAGATGAAATAAGTCAGAGAAAAAATTAGCACAGAAAAGTCTTAGTTACAAGCTTACAGAGAGAGAGAGAGAAATGGTAGTGACCAGTCTAGGGAACTGAATGGTTGCTGCATAGAAAATGTGGAAGGGAGTGATGGGAGACAGGCTACGTTCCTTGCAATTTCCTTGAGTCACCATGATTATTTCACCTATTGAATAACTGAATAAATTGAGTAGAGAGGCTGCTTGTACCAAACTGTAAACCAGTTTCATGATAAGAAAATTACATTTTAAACTTATACTTAGGGAAAACAAGAACAAAAACAAAACACCTGCCTTGCAGAAATATGTCATAGAAACAGATTTTAGACAGAACTATTTCCCTCTACAACAATTATGATTAAATAAATGTTAAAATAAAAAGAAGGATGTTTAGCAGGATACGGAATAGAAACATTTGGAGTTTTAGTTTAGTGTTTATACAATACATCCTGTTTTATGATTGTTTTCCAACAAGGTTTATATAATGTGGGGGGTCACTCTTTAGCAGGAGAGTCTCTGTCACTAGAGTTGCAGTGTGTTCACCTCTCATTTTCTCCAGTGTTTTTGTAAATCTTTTCATTGACAATCTTTTAATAATTCCCAAAACAATTGGGGGTAATGACTGAATTCTAAGTTCTTGTCATAAATAAATACAGTTGGCAGAATATAGATGTTTTGATGATGTTCCACGCTAATAAAAGCACACACATTTTTCTTGAGAGTAGGGCTAGCCAAAAGCATCTGAGAACTGATGGAATCCTAAGGCAGACAGAAAAGCTAAAAGCCGAGTAACTAGTTTTGTCTTCAGCACTAACATTTTGTTCTCTGGGTGCCATGACATAGCCCCTACTAGTTAATTCCATTAAGCAACAAGGGCCATTTAAATATATGCAAAACAACTACGAAACAAACAGAAACTCCGTGACCACAAAAAGAGCCTGTAACATAGACGGATGACTACAAATAGTGTTCTTAGTAAGAGATAATCATTAAGACAGTAGCAAAATGAGGAGGAGTGGTGTCCTGGGCAACATAAAGTGTGTACACCCTTCTACATGCACAAACACTCTACTGAAATTTGCCAAGGCTCACTGGTGTCTTTGAGGCACCCTAAAGAGGGGAGCCCAGGAATAACCATCATCCTTAGGCCTTCCCTGGTCAAGGCCCTACACTAGGACTCAGAGGAGAGAGAGTTCAGAACATTTTATCCCTATCACTGGAAAATAGCACAGTTGGTGCCTAACTTCCTTTTGTTGAAAATAACACAGGTAATTTTTTAGCCAAATGAGATTTTGATTAAAAGAAAAAAACCAAACAAACAAAGGCAGAATGTGAAAAGGAGCTAATGTCAGTGCTTCCAAGGGTACTAAAATTTGTTTTAAGATAATAAAGAAATAGCTTCTTCAGGCCCTTTAGACTTTGGACTCCAAAATTGGATGCGGATCAAATAGGACATTTATATATTAAGAAGTTCCAAGAAAACTTGTACAGCATAAGGTAGATACAAATCAAGGTGGATCATAAGGTAGATACAAATCAAGGTGGAACAGATAGAAAATAATTAGGTCAAGAGTAATCAGCATATAATATGTGGAACCAAACAATACACTGATATTCTGATCTGGAAAGAGGATTTGGGGTTATTTTGAAAACTAATGTCACTACAACTCTGTCCAGAACTCACAGCTGCAGAAACAAGAGTAAACAAGTCATCCTATCAGAAGACTGCAAGGTTAAAGAACAACAAAAGACTCAAAACTAAATGACATTCTTGTTAGTTCCCATTGATGCGATTATAACTCATACAATTCCCTAAAGGAAAACTACAAAAAGGATGTTTCTTGAGATAGGAATACAAATAAACTGGTGCTTGTTTGTTTGTTTTGTTTTAAGTCCAGTAATAAGAATGAATGTTTTCTGTATTTGGTTTTTTTAAAAACTCTATATTTTATATGCAGACATTTAACATAAAATCTTTTCCCTATGTCTTTACTTAGATGATTAGGTAGTTGAAAGATGCTACTGTTTACCAGGCATTGCTAAAAACTTTTGAGTTCTATGAGGGAGGGGGCCATGATTTATTCCTTTTTACATTTCCCCGCACCTCATTTTACATCACATAAGCATGTATGTATGGCTTCTACGCAGTCAGCCAAATCAGATAAATCATGCCTGGGAGTTGAAAGTGGGAACTGACTTGTCTAGTTTGACTATTCTGAGTAGTGAACTAACTAGCTTAGAATTTTGTCAGATTTGTATATGTCTTTCATTTAGGTACTAGAGCTACACCTAAATCCCAGAAAAATTGATAACTAAATGATAGCATATTATTCTATATTCAAATTTTAAAACCCACGTAAGAATATTAATAACACAAATTATTTGTATGAGAATGACTTCTATGTTTTTCATTTCGCCCTCAGAGATCTATACTTCCTCTATCCAGAAACAACACAGAAGCAAAATGTTATCAAAGCACCAGAATGTTGCCCAGAAAACTGTGCATTAATTACTCAAGCCAGGAAACTCCCAGTTTTGCAACTCTATTTTATCATTTAAGAGAGATCTTTCCACATGTGTGTACTAAAAAAGAACAGAGAAATAACCAGTCTTCTGTAACTTAGCAAAAATACAAATTGGTGTCTCCACTTTGATTTCTGTTTTTGAAATCAATTTTCAGCCTGGCTTTCTTTTGCCTCTGGTATTCTGATGATCATTTTGTAGCATCTGGATAATTTTACATTAACATCTGGAGTTGAGGGTCTTTTTATTTGTCTGATGCATATAGAATACTTCTGTAAGAAATGTATTTTCCCAGCTGCTGTTTATTCATTTCAAAGAGACATGGTTAAGTGAGTGTAACAGCCTTCTTAGGAAATTCAATTCCTAAATTCCTTAGGAAACACAAACCATGTTTAATCTGAAGTCCTGCCAGTCTATTTTCTTTCCTACCAGCTTTTCCCATGGCAGAAATGGTTGAGATCTGTACAGGAGGAGTACTTTAGTCTGGTAACAGGTGGTGGTGGTGAGTGAGGGACTTTGAAATCAGGCCTGGTTTGGAATCTTGGTCTGGCAGTCAGTAGCTGTGTAATCTTGGGTAACTCTTTGAAGTTTAGTTTCCATATCTAAGAATGAGGAAGTATAAATACATATCTGCCCAAGTTGGCTGTATTAAATGAGATAATTTACATAACACATCTGGCTAAGTTGCAGATGTAATAAATGGCAGCTGTTATTATTTACATCAGCATGTTGCAGAGAGAAACTTACAATTTCTTTTTTCTTGACCTCCTAGGGCTTTTATGCATGCAACTGGCAATTTGGGATTTGCACAAGGTTTTTCCAGAGTACAAGGTTTTAAAGAGCTATAACTGAATCCTATTATTTAGAAACTTGCTCTTTGAGTGGAGGATAAGGAAGAAACTAAGTTGACTAATTACATTATAAAAGCAAGTAGAGAATCATTCCTTTCTGAGCTTCTGTAGCACAGGCTATGAGGTATCCTAGTAAAGTCTATTCAATTTTAAGCAAATTTTCATAATTCACCATAATAAACTCTGTAAGTCCAAGCTATTAAACTGGCAGGGATAAAAGAGACCTACATTCATTTAATTAAATGCAGTGTTGTTAGAATGTTGTTCAAAATGTTTTTAGAACTCTTCTTGGCATTGATTGTTTTTATAATGATGACTTCATGTCTTGACTCTCAATGACTTTTGTTTATCTCCACCCACCAAAATTATTCACCTTCAAAGACGAAATTTGGAAATACTGAGAACATTCAAAGGAATGTCCTGAAGTTCTGATCACAGCTCTGAATAACTCCAAAATCTCCTAATTATTTTTGGAATATGTATACAACCAAGATTATTTGTGTGAAATGTTTTCATTCACTTAATTGTACTTTTTAATATAAATGTTTAAAAAGATTTATGTTATATTCACAGCATACAAGGCAGTTTTTAAAGGAAATGAATTAACAGTTTCAGAGAAATAATTTTAATAACATACACTTCATACTTTTATTTATTCTGAAAACAGTGCTTTTCTTCAATATGTTATTTCCTTGTAACTACTTTAAAGAAATTAAGGACTTCCACGTTGTCTAGTTCTTTATTGTTTTCCTTATGCATAGCAAAGTTAGTGCTCAATAATGCTAGATGAGCGACTGAATGACAAGATGACAAAAAATGAATTTATTACCACTGCATGTTAAAGAAGTGTACTTTTTTATACTTGCTTTTGAGAAAAGCATCAAGGTGGCATTCATGAAAAAACACAACTTTAAAATGATAACAAAAAGTTAAAATTTCACTGGACAAAAAAAATGGAGGAAAAATATACACTGGCTGCTCATCTGGGATGAGTTAGTTATTGCAGTTGAACTCTTAATTTAATGCAGAATTTTTAGACAACTAGGGCTAAAAAAGAAAATGTTAAATTATCTAGTGTCTGACAAAGAAGAAAGCTTTTAAATTTTCAAGATGGACATTCTATTGGCAATGAATTCTCAGAGCAAATTTAACGCAGTCCTTATGTAAGGACTTCAGATAGAAAAAAAGTATAAGAACTTCAAGCATCACTAGTGCAATGGACAATATTACTTGCTTATCAGTAATAAGCAAGTAATATAACCACATAAGAAAGCTAAAGATATTCTCTTAAATTTGTTATTCAGTGGTGAATCATGTGTCTCTGAGAAACTAAGATAATATGATTTATTTCTGTACTTTTGGGACAGTCTAACTTAATCCATGAAGGAGTACAGGGGATGGATGCTCCCTCTCAAATGTCAAATGTGCAGGCCAATTCTCAGAGTTGAATTAGTTGACAGGAACTTAAGCATTAGTATTTGTTGCTGGGTAGTTTTCTGTGTGATTAAGGTACAGAATATACTCCTACAAAAACGGAGAGCCAGCCCACTGCCGCAGAAAAGAGTTTTTTTTCAGGTGGCTATGGTTAGAACCAATATATTTTTCCAGCGTACACTTTGAATGATAATAGCTCACATTCTCTGATCACTTGCCATGGGCCAAGAACCATTCTAAATGCTTTGCATTTTGTATCTCATTAAACCTTTACAGTAACTTCATGCAGTGTACACTATTATTGTTTTCATTTTGCAAGTAAGAAAACTGATGGGCAATGTTACCTCACCCGCATTTACATAGCTAGTAAGTGGCAAAGTCAGAATTTGAACTCAGGCTGATGGTACAGTCTGCATGCTTAGCCACAGTCATGGACTTACCCCCAAACTCCCTGTGTTTGCATAGGCATATGGATACTACAGGATAGATACTTTAGATTCATATTACATAGGAGGAATAGTGACATGAATCATCAAAGAGGAGCATAAAATAAACTTTGCTTGCCTTACCCATGAAAGAACATCAATGTGACTCCCTGGCGAATATCTGATAATGAAAAGAAATGCATTGTGATCAGCAGGATAAAATGAAGAAAATAAAAATGTACCCTGAAATAGCTGAATGAATGAATGAACAACCTATTTCATAGCATTGTGTTAGAGAAGAATGCTCATCTTATAGTGGTAATTGTGTATCATAAAAACTGCACTGAATTTGAAGTAAAAAATAAAAACTGTATCTAATTTCCAATTCTATCACTTGTAGTCTCTGTAACCTCCTAGTCTCTTTCACTGGGATCTTAGATGTGCCTTCTCAGAAGCTAAATTTTCTTACCTGTGAGTTGGTTTATGATTCTTTCTTCCTTTACCTTCTCACTTTGTTGTGATACCAGAATAAAGTGTTGTATGTGCATATCCTTGGAGATTTTAAAGCTATCTGAAAATATGCTGTATTTAAACATACTGAACATAGTTAAAAGATACGCATCTGATTAATGTTAAAACTATACCAATTTATTGTAGTCCAATTGAAAATAGCTTACCTAAAGGTCTATTTTGTTGTATTTAAAGTTGGAAATTCACCTCGTTATAAATCTCTTCCCAGCTACTGTGATCCTGTCTTTAATGAAGCTTTAATAAACTGGAATGTATGCCAAGAGTATACAGTCAGAATCTCTCTAAGACTCAAAGACTGATGAGAAGCCTCTGAAAGCTGTGAAAAGTGCATTATTGTTTTAACTGCTTCCCTAAAAAATGAGGGAAGTGAAGCAGGGACCCTAGTGGTGTTGACGGGCTGTTGTTACTTATCCATGATGCATAAGAGTGAGGAACTAAGTCTGAATGTTTTTTAAGGGGGAAAATAGCAGTATAGCATACTGAAAGTTTTGTTGTAATTTTTTTGTGAGATGGAATTTCACTTTGTAGCCCATGCTAGAGTACAATGTTGCAATCTCAGCTCACTGCAACCTCCACCTCCCAGATTCAAGTGATTCTCCTGCCTCAGCCTCCTGAGTAGCTGGGATTACAGGTGCCTGCCACCACACCTGGTTAATTTTGTATTTTTAGTAGAGACGAGGTTTCACCATGTTGGTCAGGATGGTTTCAAACTTCTGACCTCATGCTCTGCTTGCCTCAGACTACCAAAGTGCTGGGATTACAGGCATGAGCCACCACAACTGGCTTGTTGTAATATTTTTAAACGCCAATTAAAAAATAAATAGTGACCAGTGATGATGAGCATTTTTTCATATGTTTTTGGCCTCATGTATGTCTTCTTTTGTAAAGTGTCTATTCCTATCCTTTGCCCACTTTTGAATGGGCTTGTTTGTTTTGTTCTTGTAAATCTGTTTTAGTTCTTCGTAAATTCTGGATATCAGCCCTTTGTCAGATGGGTAAACTGCAAAATTTTTTGCTCATTCTGTTGGTTGTCGATTCACTCTAATGACTGTTTCCTTTGCCATGCAGAAGCTGTGGAGTTTGATTAGGTCCCATTTGTCTATTTTGGCTTTTGTTGCCAATGATTTTGGTGTTTTGGTCATGAAGTCCTTGCCTACTCTTATGCCCTGAATGGTTCTGCCTAGATTTTCTTCTTGGGTTTTTATGGTGTTAGGTCTTTTGTTTAAGTCTTTAATCCATCTGCAAATCAAAACTACATTGAGATACCATCTCATGCCAATTAGAATGGCTATCATTAAAAAACCTGGAGACAACAGATGCTGGAGAGGATGTGGAGAAAGAGGAACACTTTTACACTGTTGGTGGGAGTGTAAATTAGTTCAGTCATTGTGGAAGACAGTGTGGCAATTCCTCAAGGACCTAGAAATAGAAATTCCATTTGACCCCGCAGTCCCGTTACTGGGTATATATCCAGAGGATTATTAATCATTCTACTATAAGGACACATGCACACAAATGTTCATTGAAGCACTGTTTACAATAGCAAAGACCTGGAACCAACCCAAATGCCCACCGATGATAGACTGGACAGGGAAAATGTGGCACATATACACCATGGAATATTATGCAGCCATCAAAAACGATGAGTTCGTCTCTTTGTAGGGACATGGATGAACCTGGAAACCATCATTCTCAGCAAACTGACACAAGAACAGAAATGAAATACTGCATGCTCTCACTCATAGGTGGGTGTTGAACAATGAGAACACATGGACACAGGGAGGGGAGCACTACACACTGGAGTCTGTTGGGGGGAATAGGGGAGGGACAGTGGGGGGTGGGGAGTTGGGGAGAGATAGCATGGGGAGAAATGCCAGATATATGTGAAGGGGAGGAAGGCAGCAAATCACACTGACACGTGTGTACCTATGCAACTATCTTGCATGTTCTTCACATGTACCCCAAAACCTAAAATGCAATTAAAAATAAACAAATAATAAAAGCTGGAAAAAAATGACATTTTAAGTGCCAAAGGAAAAATCTTTCAGTCAAGAATTCTATTTTTCCACCAGAACTGCAAAAATGAAGGCATAATAAAGATATTCCCAGTTAAAAAATAAATTAATTTAAAAAATAGTATGAAATTGTATAAAGCAATTATATGAGAATTGTTCTGTGATCAGCAGTTCAAAGATAAAGAAAGTCTCCTCTTCTCCCCATGTTATTTTCACTGCTAACAATGATTAACATTTGGTATATATCCTCCCAGATTTCATTTCCTATGTGTAAGTGAAGACATATGAATAAAATGTGTTCTTGTTATATTATATAGTTCTCGTTTCAACACAAGTGTACTTACCCTCTACATGGTGTTTACGATTTGCTTTTGCATTTATGAGGTTGTACACTTTTTAAATTTTAGCATTGGTAAATTTACTTTGTTTTTACTTTAACATAGTATTCAATTGAAATGTAAGTATACTGCAACTTATTTATCATATCTCCACTGCTGGTCCTTCAGGTTATTTCTAACTTTTCTTGATTAGAAGCCCTGTTGTAATGAGTAACTGGTACAAGTATGTTTGTTTATACTCTTCCATTAATACTTAACGTAAATAAATCTGATAAGAGAAATTGCAGGTTAAAGGATATTTTATACATTTTATTTTTGATATACATTGGCACAGAACTGTGTGAAGAACCAATTAATGTCTAAGGAATACAGTTTCCATTGTTGTAATTATCAAAAAATTATCACTTATGTGGGCTGTAGTTATACCCATGATGTGACCAATTTAAGAAACTTTAAAATATAATTTCTAGTATGTGTATACTAATGTAAGACAGAAAAGTTTTATTTACAACTGGAAGTTGTTGGGACCATAAAAGAAACAAATATGTCTAGAACATTTTAAAGTTGGCAGAGCAGATTTCAAGATATTCCAGCCTGAGTCCCTCAGATATGTATTTTGGTGATTACAAAAATATCAAAAGAAATTACTTGTGTCCAAAAGTCACAATATGTGCAAGTCATCAATGCAATAAGATAAGGTTAAAATTGAGTTTCAGATATTTTGGGATTTCCAGAAAAAGAAAAATTATAAAAATTCATAATGTAATCATTTATAAAGTTTTAAAGTTTATCATTACAAAAAGGAAAGTCAAAAACCAAATAAAACAAAACAAATAAGCTTTGTTCCATGGCACAGTGTCAGTCATAAAGACTTTTAGTTAGGTGTTAATTCATTTTGCGCTTACAGGATTTTATCAGGATCAGACTGAGTATACATGTATAATTATTTTGTAAATAAACATGTTTTGAAGTTTCAGAGTAAAAAACTTAACAGAAAGAAGGTTTACAATATTTACTAAAGATAATGATTCATATACCACAAAAATCTGAACTTCAGATATTATTTGTATGACCTTCAAAGTTATATTTTTCCCTGTCAATGACTTTGCTTTTGTCTTTAGTGCCATTTTGTTTGAAGGCTTGTTTATCTGCTATGAAGTGATTTTTCTATGACTTTCTACATGTCTCTTCACACTGGGTTAAGAAATCTTCAAGGAAATCAGTATCCTTGTGAAGATCCTACACAACCTTTTGCTATCATATTTGCTCTGATATGGAACAAAGGTAAAAGATACAGGAAAATGTAGAAGTGGGTATTGTAGAAGAATCCAGATGTATCTAATGGCCTCTTCATGCTCCTTCCTTCTTGCCTTTATTAAAAAAAAAAAAAAAAGCTTCTGAATTGCAAGGATATTTTTAAGCCGTATGAAACAGTGTGCCCCTTCAGCTGTACTTTTCAAGGAGACTGTGAATGCTGAAATGATTAACAATATGTGAAGCCAAATTGTACCGAAGCATGGAACCATGTGGTGTGGCAATCGTGGGTGGGAAGACATATTAGTCTAGAGGTCCCTGCTGAGCAAAAGACAAAGACCTCCTTCTCCATTGTCCCACACTGATGGTGGGCTTTGGATGTATTTTCAGAAATAATTATTTGCAGAGAACTTATAAAAACAAATGAATCACCCTCATCACTGTGCTTGTTCCCTTTTGGGATGTTTGTCTACTAGGCTTTCTAAATTGGGAAATTTTGAAATTCAATAAGAAAAATATATTTTAATTTTTTTGAGATCCTCAGTGTCTTCTGCAAATACACTTTCAGTTTTTATTACAGACTCTTGATGCTGTTGTTTACCATTGCATTTTTATTTAACTTGAATATTTTAATTTAGCATGAATCATTCCCATGAATTAATAACTTTGTATCTTCTGTGTGTTTTCAATGGTGTGTCTGCTACTCCAAAGATCTTTGTGAATTTTACATATTAGAAGTGACATAGCCTCATAATGCTTTAAATCCAGCAGGAAGTTCTGGAAGGTGGTGCTAACAAATACCTCAAATCTGGAAGTTGTATGCTTTAGAAAAATAAAGTCATCTTGTTAGTGAATCTCTATATCGGATCTTCTAATACTTATAAATAGGTTTTCAGAAATTAATTATATTGATAGCCTCAAAAAACTAAAGGAAAAGCTGTGTCTCAAAGACATTACAAGGCAGTAGTAAATTATAAACAATATATTTGAAATCATAATTAAAATTAATAAGTCCATTTTCTGAGGCATTGACCTATTAAAAATTTATGAGTTACCTCATAGTTTGTTCAAAGATAGTTCCAGACGATCTTCTCAGGGATGTTTGTAAAGTGAATAGCCTTGTAAGGTAGAACCCTGGAGGCAGGGGTTGCAGTGAGCCGAGATTGTGTGACTGCACTCCAGCCTGAGTGACAGAATAAGACTGTCTCAAACAAACAAAAAAAAGGAACTACCATATAATCCAGCCTTCTCACTTCTGCATATATATTCAAAGCAATGGAAATCAGGATCTCAAAGAAATATCTGTATTCCCATGTTAATTTTAGCATTATTCACAACAGTCAAGACATGGAAACAACCTAAATATCTTTTGACAAATGAATAAATAAGAAAAATGTGGTATATGCATACAATGGGATATTACTTTGCCTTAGAAAAAGAAGGAAATCCTGCCATTTCAGATAATTCAGGACATTATGCTAAGTGAAAGGACATTATGCTGAAGGACATAACCTGAAGGACATTATGCTAAGTGATATAAACCAGAAGTGGAAGAACAAATATTACATGATATCACATATATAAGGAAACTAAAATAGCCAAAACTCACAGAAACATGAGAGTAGAATTGTAGTTACCAGCGTCTGGGTTGGAGGAGAAACAGGAAAGCATTAATGAAAGGGTAAAAAGTTTAACTTCTACAAGATGAATTAAGTCCTAGAGATCTACTGTACTGCATAGTGCCTAGACTTAACATTACTGTATCGTATGCTTTACATTTTACTAATAAGTCAATCTTATAATTGTTTGTATCACTAAATAATAATAATGAATAAAGAGAGCGAGAGAAAATTTTTGGAGGTTATCAATATGTTTATGGCAGAGATGGTGGTAATGGTTTCGCCGGTACATACTTATCTCCAAACTCATTAGGTTGTATACATCAAATATGTACAGCTTTTGGTATGTGAATCAACCCCAGCATGTTTAAAAGCAGTGTAGAAACAGCTACTTTTTAAATTATTACAACTTAAAGCCATCTCGTGGTGTTTTCTTGAAATAACAATCATATCTTGGTTAACAGTTGAGATCTAAAAGCTTAGGCCTAAATTCAGGTAGAAACTTTGGCTCATTGGTTACAAAGTTTGAAACCAGATGCACAGACTGTCTTTGTTCTAGAAGATCTTCTCAGGGATGCTTGTAAAGTGAACAGCCTTAGAAGGTAGAGATAGTGTCTCCATGAGAAGCAAAGTGGAGATTTACTCATAGGTTGGGAAGAGAGAGATGGCATCTCCCTCCAGATGAAGGGAACCTGTTTACCACCCATAAGAAAAGATTTGAACTCCTTAAGCCGAGGGTTCCTCTTCTGCAACACCACCCACTGTGAGTGGAGGCATCAGCTGGCCCACTTTTTATCTCTCTGCAGGAAGTAGAGCCCAGGCAACTGGCACCAAATATGCCAAAGCTTATGCTGCTTCCTGGGCTGTAATAAAGTCCCTTTTCCCTCTTTTGGAAGTCTCATATGTTCTGCCAGCAGCCAGGAAACTATGTCAGCCTAAATTTTTGTCTTGCAAGTAGAATAAAATTCCAGACCCTTTACAATCTTCTTCATAAAAAACAGCCTTATTAAGATATATTTTGCATACCACATAATTCACCAATTTACCATACACAGTTCAGTAGTATTTATTAATAGTATATTCACAGAGTTGTCCAACCACCACCACAATCCAATTTTAGATCATTTCAACACCTCAGAAGGAAACCTTGTACATGTTAAGTGTCATTCCTGTCCCACTCCCCGCAAATCTGCTTGCTCTAGCTGTGCTGGATTGATGTCAGAACACAGGAGGGAAGGGTAACTGTGAGAGAGCAGGTAAGAGGTTTTCACAGCAACTTAGGGGAAAAATGATAGTGGCTTAGAGCAGGGTAGCAGCATGAAGGTAGTGAGAAGTGGTGGAATAGATGATATATTTTCAAAGTGGAACCAGTAGTATTTCCTGACCGATTGGCTCTGCCAAGAGGATGTGCTAGTCAATTTCCTGTGAGGTGTGAGAATGAGATGGCTGAAGGATAAGTCCAGGGTTTTGGCATGAGCAAAGGGAAGGATTGAATTGCTTTGAAATGAGCTGGGAAGACTGTGGGCATAGCAGATTTTGACAGAGAAGATCAGGAGTTCAGCATTGCCTAAGTTAATCTGAAATATCTATTAGACATTTTGGTGAAGCTGAATAGACAGTATATAGTATTCTGGAATTCAGATGAGGAATGCTACTTAAAGATATGAATTAGAGAATTTACAGTCATGAGACTGCATGAGATCACCCAGGAAGTACAAGAAGACCTAGAAAAGTAACAGTCCTAGAACTGAGCTTTAAGGGACATCAATCTTTAGAGGTCAGAGATAGAGGAAGTAGAGCAGTAAAATTAAGAAGCAAACACACAGTTTTGGACAGAGATATTTCCCATAAGAATATTGCAAGCATTACATATTCCCTTTGTTGCAGGATGTGAAAATAATCTTTCGGGAAATGTGTGCTTAGACCTCGATGTGATGTATACAATAAGCAAGGAACAAATTGCTAACTCTATCTGGTTCCTGAGAAAACGAAATATTATTAAATAAATGGTGGTCAGGGCAAGGAGTCCAGGTCCATAAAGAAAAGTTGGACCATGCTTTTCCAGGTTTGCTGTACATCAAAAGCCAGCAAACTAGTGTATGCTGTTTTATGGCTGTGAGGATCCATATTCTAAATTATTATATCAGATTTCTTTGTTGTTGTTGTTGTTGTTGTTGTTGTTGTTTTGAGACAGAGGCTGCTTCTGTTATCTAGGCTGAAGTGCAGTAGCTCGCTGCACCCTCTGCCTCCCAGGCTCAAGCAGAACTCCCACTTCAACCTCCCAGGTAGCTGGGACTATAGATGCATACCACAACACCTGGCTAATTGTTACATTTTTTTGTAGAGCTGGTAGTGTTTCACCATGTTGCCTATGCTGGTCTCAAACTCCTGAGCTCAAGCGATCCGCCTACCTCAGGCTTCTAAAATGCTGGTGTAAGCAACCATGCCCGGTCCCTATCAGATCTTCAATATCATGTATTCAAAAATATGTCACTATGATATATGCTTGAAATAACATCTGAGGGATAAACTCTGAATTTATAGACTTTCTTTAAAAAAATTGTAATGTATATATTCAGTTTCTGATATTCACATTTAACACTTGATATTCAAAATTAGGTTTTGATTCTGGCTTTCTTTGTATTTGTAAAAGTTTGAAAGACATTTATTTTAAAATACAATTTTATTTATGATATTGTAAAAGTTTTGTCAGTAGAATTGTACACATTGAGGAAACAAATGAACCTGAATCATTCTGTTGGAGTCATATTAGTTTACTCCCCATTATGGTAGGCTCGAGAAACATTTTATTCTTATGTAAAACCAAGGTAGTGTCTTATGTGATGCCAAACATCTGGGTGAAACTGAAAAATATAGTTAGTCATCAATGTTTATTACTATCTGGATATTTGATGTCATGAAAATAATAAATCATAATTAGCATTTCAATTTGTCAAACAGATGTTCATTGAAAAACAAATACAACCTATTCCAGAAGCTGGAAGGACATTTTAGATGGCCCACCTAAGTATAATTGTTTTTCTGGTTCTCAAAAAGAAACAAAATTTGTCAACATAGTTCATTTAATGATGTGTGAGGATAGGGTATGGTTTGTTTTATTCAAAATATGAGATTTTATACTAAAATGATATTGTGTTGAAATCAGATTTAACCTGAACTTTCTTAATGATATTAATGACTGAAAACAGCAGCAGGCAGAATTATAAATTTAAATATAATTTATAGAGTAGGTTTAAATATGGGTATAGGTATATCACATACTTTGTCAGGTGTTTTTTGATGGCTTTTTTATGGTAAATTGACAATTTCTAATTATATAAATCTATGGGATACAAAGTGATGTTATGATATATAAATGCAATGTTGAATAATTCAGTTAAGCTAGTAGCGTACTAATTCCCTCAAATACTAGTAATTTTTATGATGGGAACATTAGAAATTTACTTTTAGCAATTTTGAAATCTGCAATACACCATTATTAACTTTACTCACCATACTGTGCAATAGAAGTAAAAGATATAAAACATAAATACCGTATTGCTTTTAACTGAAATTTTGTACCTTTTGACATCATCTCCCCATTCCCACAGCCCTCAGCCTCTGTAACAACCATTCTACTCACTCCTTCTAAAAATTAGATTGTTTTATATTCCACATGTAAGGAAGAACATGCAATATTTCTTTTTCTGAGTCAGGCTTATTTTATATAGCAAAATGTTCCTCAGTGACATCCATGTTGTCACAAATGACAGAACTTTTTTTAAAGCTAAATAGTCTTTCACTGTATATGTGTATGACATTTTCTTTATCCATTTATCTATTGATGGACAGGTTGATTTCAAAACATGGCTATTGACCGAGCTCTCTGGCTCACACCTACAATCCCAGCACTTTGGGAGGCTGAGGCAGGCAGATCACAAGGTCAAGAGTTTGAGACCAGCCTGGCCAACATGGTAAAACCCCGTTTCTACTAAAAGTACAAAAAATTAGCCAGGCATGGTGGTGCACACCTGTAATCCCAGCTACTCAGGAGGCTGAGGCAGGAGAATTGCTTGAACCCAGGAGGTGGAGGTTGCAGTAAATGTAGATATGTAGATTGCATCATTGCACTCCAGCCTTGGCAACAGAGCAAGACTCTGTCTCAAAAAAAAAAAAGAAGAAGAAGAAGAAGGAAAAACAAAGTGGTTATTGTGAAGTGCTACAGTGAACATGGGAGTTCAGATATCTTTCTGGCAAACTGATTCCACATCTTTTGGGTAAATACTTGAAAGTGAGATTGCTAGATCACATGGTAATTTTACTTTTAGTTTTTTTAGAAACCTGCATGTAGTTTTCCATAATGGCTGTACTAATTTACATTCCCACCAACAGTGTACAGGGTTCTGTTTTTTCCATATCATTGCCTACATTCTTTTTGATAATACCTATTCTGACAGGTGTGAGATGATATCTCATTGTAATTTTAATTTGCATTTCTCTAGTGATTAGTGATGTTGAACATTTTTTCATATATTTTTTGGCTATTTGTTAGTCTTCTTTTGAGCAATATCTATTCAGATTCCTTGCTCATTTGTATTTTATTTTAATTTTTGTTTTCTTCCTCTTAAGTTGATGGAGCTCTTTAT